GTGTGTGTGTGTGTGTGTGCCCGTCGGTCTGCTGCCTTCTTCCCCTAAAACCATCCCTCATGCTTGGCAGAAACGCCACGTAGGAACCACCCGCCAGGAGCATAGGCTGCATAGACAGGCGCGCTGCTTCGCGGAGGCCTATCAATACGGAAAGAGATTAAAGATAGAAAGAAGGATTCAAAGGGAAGCAATGACAGACCAAAGAAGATTAAAAAAAAAAAAAGAACAACATGAAAGTGACATGATCAGACGATAATCGTGGCATAATTGCGAAGAACCCCTTTTTGTTGTAGCGCAATGATAGGATGGCAGAGCACCTCCTAATTTTTTCAGCTACCATTATAGTGTTGTCTTTTATTTTATTTTTATTTTTTTATTTTTTTTATTTTTCCGTGTGTGTGTGTGCGTGTGTGTGTTGTGTTCTTAAGCAGTAAAAGTGTGCAATCATTCCAGGTTATTGAGCAGTCCGCTGCAATCCAATGAATCCATGAGGCATTGTTCGAGCAGGAGAGGACGACTTCGTACTCAGGTGTTCATCCAGGTCCTGTGCTGTAGGAGAGCGAAATGTAGTTCAGCATGCGGGAAAGCAGACAAGAGGAATGACCGACAAAAGTAAAGGGAGAACAAGAGCAAGAGGAAGGGAGCGAGAAGAGAGAGTAGACCGAAAGCGAGAGCTCAGGCACCTCTGTTTTCTTCCCAACAATGCCAAGAAACAACGCGCCAGCACGGTAGCATTCATTATGATATTACTCGTTTCTCTGCACCGAAACTTCTTGTGCGGCCCTTCCGCTCATCGTTGTCATCAAGTCAGCAAACAGAAGAAAGGAAGAGAAGGAAAGGAAAGGAAAGGAAAGGAAAGGAAAGGAAAGGAAAGGAAAGGAAAGGAAAGGAAAGGTGGAAAAACCATTGTCCCAAATTCTCTCCCAATCATCCCAATGGCATGCTCGCGACTGCAGGAACTAGCATCTTTACACATTCGATGACAAGCTTTTGATCATATTCACTCCGTTCAAATTTTCAAAATAGAAGGCAAGAGGAATGGAAGACCCGTAAGAAGATAAGCAAATTGAAAAGAAGAAGAAGGAGGATGAGGAGGAGAAGGACACAGCAACAAGAGAGTACAGACAAAATAACGTGAGGCACCTTGAAGTTCTTTTCCTTCTTGCAGATCAACAATATATTAGGAGCAAACTATCAGTCGTAAAAGTCGTTCTTTCTGCACAGGCAGCACTGTGACAGCTCTTGTGCCTGGCACTCATCAGGTCACCAAACAGGAAAGTCGGAAAAGCCACACTGTGTTTTTTTTCTGCTTGCCGCTCGCATCGGATTCCCTGTGACTGCAGGACCTAGCAATGTCTAGTAGCATCCTTACGCATTCTATGATAAGCGTTTGGTCGTGATCTTTTTTTCTCACTCCATTCAATACTCCATCACTGACCATCAGCTTGCTTGCACATGACATTGTCGTCTAGTCTAGCTAATGAATGATCCTTGCACATAAATTGCAGTTGATTACGGCAGCGCCGCAGCAGTGCAGCTGACTTAGGCAACAACATGACAAGTGTTCCATCGTGATGATCATACCATCTGTACTATACACTCTGGTGCTGCTATCCCCCGGACCGGTGGTGCTTCTTGTCTTTGCTTTGCGTGCTTTGCTCTTCTTGAGTGCAGCTGGCACTACCAGTGGTGGATAGATAGCTCTTCTTCTTCAGTGCAACACTGCTGTTCAAACCGCAGCTGGAACCGATAATCCACTGCAGTTGTTCTGTCAATCGGACTCAATCGTCTCCTTCGTACTCACAGAGAGTGCGGTCCGCCTGGTACCTCCACTTGCTACTGTCGATACTACTTTTGAGGAAGCAGCAGARCTTGCCTTTGGGCCAGTTGTAGTCTGCGTAAACGATTCCATAACACTTGGAGTCATTGTCACACAGATCTTGGCACCCACTCAGGCTTGCCGCACCCGGAAACTTGTTGCAGTCGATTTTCTTCCTTGTATATGCGTTCTGGTCGGTTTCAGGATGACATGTCCAGTCACCAGCAACGGTGGGCGGGTACAAAACGACCAACAGCAGCCCTATGGCCACAAGGGCGACGATTGGTACAGCCGGCTTCATCATGTTGGCGGTTGCCCTCTTCTCTTGTCCCTTCTGCTTCTTCCACTTCTGCTGTCGTTAACAGGATGAGACCTAAATTCTGCAATGCCACACCACAGACAGGGAGAACAATGAGCACAGTGTCAGTACACAATACATCCCAGTGATCCCACACACGCACAGACAGAAATACACACATACGCACACACACACACACACACACACACACACACACACACACACACACACACACACACA